GAGGAGCTCTCGCCAGTCTGAACATTACTGCCTGAGGAGCTCTCGCGAGCCTGAACACTACTGCCTGAGGAGCTCTCGCCAGCCTGAACACTACTGCCTGAGGAGCTCTCGCCAGTCTGAACACTACTGCCTGAGGAGCTCTCCCCGAGCTGAAACACTACTGCCTGAGGAGCTCTCGCAGTCTGAACACTACTGCCTGAGGAGCTCTCCCCAGTCTGAACACTACTGCCTGAGGAGCTCTCGCAGTCTGAACACTACGGGGCCAGCAGTAAAAGGAGGACTCTCGCCAGTCTGAACATACTGCCTGAGAGCTCTCACAGCTGAAACACTACTGCCTGAGGAGCTCTCGCCAACTGAACACTACTGCCTGGGGAAAGCTCTCGCGAGCTGAACACTACTGCCTGAGGAGCTCTCGCCAGTCTGAACACTACTGCCTGAGGAGCTCTCGCCACTCTGAACACTATGCCTGAGGAGCTCTCGCCAGTCTGAACACTACTGCCTGAGGAGCTCTCGCCAGTTTTGAACACTACTGCCTGAGGAGCTCTCGCCAGTCTGAACACTACTGCCTGAGGAGCTCTCGCCAGTCTGAACATACTGCCTGAGGAGCTCTCGCCAGTCTGAAACCCACTACTGCCTGAGGAGCTCTCGCCAGTCCTGAACACTACTGCCTGAGGAGCTCTCGCGAGCCTGAAACACTACTGCCTGAGGAGCTCTCGCGAGCTGAACACTACTGCCTGAGGAGCTCTCGCCAGTCTGAACATTACTGCCTGAGGAAGCTCTCGCCGAGCCTGAACACTACTGCCTGAGGAGCTCTCGCCAGTCTAAACACTACTGCCTGAGGAGCTCTCGCCAGTCTGAACACTACTGCCTGAGGAGCTCTCACGAGCCTGAACACTACTGCCTGAGGAGCTCTCGCCAGTCTGAACACTACTGCCTGAGGAGCTCTTGGGGGTCAGTCTGAACACTACTGCCTGGGGGCTCTCGCAGCCTGAACACTACTGCCTGATGAGCTCTCGCCAGTCTGAACACTACTGCCTGAGGAGCTCTCGAGCCTAAAACACTACTGCCTGAGGAGCTCTCACGAGCCTGAACACTACTGCCTGAGGAGCTCTCGCCAGTCTGAACACTACTGCCTGAGGAGCTCTCGCGAGCCTGAACACTACTGCCTGAGGAGCTCTCGCCAGTCTGAACACTACTGCCTGAGGAGCTCTCGCAAGCTCTGAAACTACTGCCTGAGGAGCTCTCGCGAGCCTGAACACTACTGCCTGAGGAGCTCTCGCCAGTCTGAACACTACTGCCTGAGGAGCTCTCGCCAGTCTGAACACTACTGCCTGAGGAGCTCTCGCCAGTCTGAACACTACTGCCTGAGGAGCTCTCGCCAGCCTGAACACTACTGCCTGAGGAGCTCTCGCCAGTCTGAACACTACTGCCTGAGGAGCTCTCGCGAGTCTGACACTACTGCTGAGGAGCTCTCGCCAGTCTGAACACTACTGCTGAGGAGCTCTCGCAGTCTGAACACTACTGCCTGAGGAGCTCTCGCCAGTCTGAACACTACTGCCTGAGGAGCTCTCGCCAGTCTGAAACACTACTGCCTGAGGAGCTCTCGCCAGTCTGAACACTACTGCCTGAGGAGCTCTCGCCAGTCTGAACACTACTGCCTGAGGAGCTCTCGCCAGTCTGAACACTACTGCCTGAGGAGCTCTCGCCAGTCTGAACACTACTGCCTGAGGAGTCTTCGCAGTCTGAACACTACTGCCTGAGGAGCTCTCGCCAGTCTGAACACTACTGCCTGAGGAACTCTCGCGAGCCTGAACACTACTGCCTGAGGAGCTCTCGCCAGTCTGAACACTACTGCCTGAGGAGCTCTCGCCAGTCTGAAACACTACTCCCTGAGGGACTCTCGCAGTCTGAACATACTGCCTGAGGAGCTCTCGCCAGTCTGAAACACTACTGCCTGAGGAGCTCTCGCAGTCTGAACACTACTGCCTGAGGACTTCCTCGCACAGTGCTGAAACACTACTGCCTGAGGAGCTCTCACCAGTCTGAACACTACTGCCTGAGGAGCTCTCGCCAGTCTGAACACTACTGCCTGAGGAACTCTCGCGAGCCTGAACACTACTGCCTGAGGAGCTCTCACCAGTCTGAAGACTACTCCCTGAGGAGCTCACCAGTCTGAACACTACTGCCTGAGGAACTCTCGCGAGCCTGAACACTACTGCCTGAGGAGCTCTCGCCAGTCTAAACACTACTGCCTGAGGAGCTCTCGCCAGTCTGAACACTACTGCCTGAGGAGTTCTCGCCAGTCTGAACACTACTGCCTGAGGAGCTCTCGCGAGCCTGAACACTACTGCCTGAGGAGCTCTCGCCAGTCTGAACACTACTGCCTGAGGAGCTCTCGCCAGTCTGAACACTACTGCCTGAGGAGCTCTCGCGAGCCTGAACACTACTGCCTGAGGAGCTCTCGCCAGTCTGAAAAAACTACTGCCTGAGGAGCTCTCGCCAGTCTGAACACTACTGCCTGAGGAGCTCTCGCGAGCCTGAACACTACTGCCTGAGGAGCTCTCGCCAGTCTGAACACTACTGCCTGAGGAGCTCTCGCCAGCCTGAACACTACTGCCTGAGGAGCTCTCGCCAGTCTGAACACTACTGCCTGAGGAGCTCTCGCAGTCTGAACACTACTGCTGAGGAGCTCTCGCCAGTCTGAACATACTGCCTGAGGAGCTCTGCCAGTCTGAACACTACTGCCTGAGGAGCTCTCGCCAGTCTGAACACTACTGCCTGAGGAGCTCTCGCCAGTCTGAACACCATCCGTAACTGCCTGAGGAGCTCTCGCGAGCCTGAACACTACTCCCGAGGAGCTCTCGCCGTCTGAACACTACTGCCTGAGGAGCTCTCCGCTAACAGCTGGAACACTAACTTGCCTGAGGAGCTCTCGCCAGTCTGAACACTACTGCCTGAGGAGCTCTCGCCAGTCTAAACACTACTGCCTGAGGAGCTCTCGCCAGTCTGAACACTACTGCCTGAGGAGCTCTCGCCAGTCTGAACACTACTGCCTGAGGAGCTCTCGCGAGCCTGAACACTACTGCCTGAGGAGCTCTCGCCAGTCTGAACACTACTGCCTGAGGAGCTCTCGCCAGCCTGAACACTACTGCCTGAGGAGCTCTCGCCAGTCTGAACATTACTGCCTGAGGAGCTCTCGCCAAAAAGCTGGTGCTTCGCCGTAACACTACTGCCGGGAGGAGCTCTCGCCAGTCTGAACACTACTGCCTGAGGAGCTCTCGCCAGTCTGAACACTACTGCCTGAGGAGCTCTCGCCAGTCTGAACACTACTGCCTGAGGAGCTCTAGCCAGTCTGAACACTACTGCCTGAGGAGCTCTCGCGAGCCTGAACACTACTGCCTGAGGAGCTCTCGCCAGTCTGAACACTACTGCTGAGGTCGCAGCTCTCTGGGGCCTGCACTGAACACTACTGCCTGAGGAGCTCTCGCCAGTCTGAACATTACTGCCTGAGGAGCTCTCGCCAGCGTGAACACTACTGCCTGAGGAGCTCTCGCCAGTCTGAACACTACTGCCTGAGGAACTCTCGCCAGTCTGAACACTACTGCCTGAGGAGCTCTCGCCAGTCTGAACACTACTGCCTGAGGAGCTCTCGCCAGTCTGAAACACTGCCACTCTCCCGCCTACCTGAGGAAACTCTCGCGAGCCTGAACACTACTGCCTGAGGAGCTCTCACCAGTCTGAACACTACTGCCTGAGGAGCTCTCACCAGTCTGAACACTACTGCCTGAGGAACTCTCGCGAGCCTGAACACTACTGCCTGAGGAGCTCTCGCCAGTCTAAACACTACTGCCTGAGGAGCTCTCGCCAGTCTGAACACTACTGCCTGAGGAGCTCTCGCCAGTCTGAACCTACTGCCTGAGGAGCTCTCGCTAGTCTGAACACTACTGCCTGAGGAGCTCTCGCGAGCCTGAACACTGCTGGGGGCCTGAATGGAGCTCTCGCAGTCTGAACACTACTGCCTGAGGAGCTCTCGCGAGTCTGAACACTACTGCCTGAGGAGCTCTCGCCAGTCTGAACACTACTGCCTGAGGAGCTCTCGCCAGTCTGAACACTACTGCCTGAGGAGCTCTCGCGAGCCTGAACACTACTGCCTGAGGAGCTCTCGCCAGTCTGAACCCACCTACTGCCTGAGGAGCTCTCGCCAGCCTGAACACTACTGCCTGAGGAGCTCTCGCCAGTCTGAACACTACTGCCTGAGGAGCTCTCGTCAGTCTGAACACTACTGCCTGAGGAGCTCTCGCCAGTCTGAACACTACTGCCTGAGGAGCTCTCGCCAGTCTGAACACTACTGCCTGAGGAGCTCTCGCGAGCTTGAACACTACTGCCTGAGGAGCTCTCGCCAGTCTGAACACTACTGCCTGAGGAGCTCTCGCCAGCCTGAACACTACTGCCTGAGGAGCTCTCGCCAGTCTGAACACTTCTGCCTGAGGAGCTCTCTCCAGTCTGAACATTACTGCCTGAGGAGCTCTCGCCAGCCTGAACACTACTGCCTGAGGAGCTCTCGCCAGTCTGAACACTACTGCCTGAGGAGCTCTCACCATACTGTCGGTGCTTTGCTATTTTTTCTAGAAAAACAGGGGGAATTATACTAACAACACATAAAACACTCTGAGGCGTAGTCATGACAGACAGGTATGGCCATTTAAGAGGGAAATAACAGGAACAAATGGGCATGGATAGAAATAACACACCATGATGTGCCAGAGCAATGTCAAGAAATACATATGCAGCTAAATGTAGTTACGAAGCTGAATGCTGTGAATAATGACGTAGTTAAATTGGACTCCATACACATATTCAAACATAAAGATGGCAAGGTTGTTTCACGTCAACCTCTCGTGAGTTAAGAGGCAGGATCCAGAGCTGGAGCTCGTCCCACCTGAAAACTCATATAGGTAATTAAAAACTATTTTTTACACTCACACACATGATATACAAACCCTGGCTTCATGTAGAACCCGCCGAAGAGCAGGAGAGGAAATGTGAGGGGCGTTGACAGAACAATGGCGGTCTGGTAGTTTTTCGCCATGCAGGAGATCATGTACCCTGCGCCATGAAATTGAAAGATTAGTTTCAAATCATACATACATGTATCTTCATCGGGAGTCACAGCGAAAGAGACACAGTACGGAAGACAGAATTTGCATGATTTCCGTTATCCGAATGCTCTGTCCATAGTAGAATGAAGATTTACAAGTGACGATACCTAAAACAACATCCTAATGAGTAGTATCTATAGTCCAGGAGACTGGATAGTACGTCATCCCAGATGGGAGTACACAGTGTCGTAACCATTTAAGACATGGTATCCTTAATAGTAATGGGTGGAGTCTATGGTGACGGGGCCAAGCTTATCTTCCGGTGACCCGGCAAAAATCCACGAACGTTTATTACATATGAATGAAATTATCACTGGGGGTGTGGAGGTCAGTGCCAGCAAGGTGATGAAGCTCTCGGTCTTCTTACCAGAAACAGGAATATGAACAGAGGGAAAATCGAGAAGTGAGAAAACAACAAGATATTGTGAAAAAAAATATTAACCAAATGTATAATTTCTAGTTTTATTAAGTAAGTCGAGGAAATACTATTGTAATTTGTGATAGTTTTCTGGTGAGCCAAACTTAAAAAATTAATGTCTTTATAATGTTAATTAAGAACCTAAATAATCATTAGTTACTTTAACCACACTATAAGCGACTGGTGAATGATAGACCACCAGAGTAATTAGGAGGTTTAATAGATTTAGAGATCTTAAACACAGTGTTTATTTTATCGCGGCGTCTTAGTGATTACTACTTGAGTCGCCCGTGGAGAACGAGCTTCGGAACAGAGGGAGAAGTGATTCTAGATGAGACAGTGAGTGGTTGATGATGGTATTTTGAACACCCTTCGGTAGTAAATTAAGAATTTCAGATTATGGCACTAAGATAATGCAGGGAAATGTATAACAGAAGAGCCATTCTCAATTTAATTCACCAAAAGCAGAGTAGAAATAAAATACGAAATACCAGAAACGTTAGGTTAGGTCAGTCAGGAAACAGGACAAGTGTTTCTTGACACGGGTCGTAGATAATAACCCACCGTTGGAACTTCTGGTCATCTGACCGAGGCCTTCTGCTGGCTTACCGGTCCACCCCTTTAAAAATTATAGTCAGAAATATAACTATTTCTTAATACATGTATATTATACCAGAGATATGTTAGGGCGTCATAGTTGAATTGGAGAGATTATTAATAATACATATTTCAGCTGTTTATATTAATTATGATACACATTTAAACCCTTTTTAATAATTATTCTCATTTTGACTGTAATAAAATTATATAAAATCTTAACTATTTTTATAAACTTTTTTAAATGTTTATATAAATCACAGACCTTCGTTAATTTCTTGGCTTACGATTTGTTGCTTGTTTCTTATCAGTTTCGATGATGAGATGTTTATGTAAATGATGATCAAATGTATATATCACGTACAGTGATGTGAATGATTTAGAAAACTGACACGTTGAAAAATGAGAGACTTATGCAACATTTGGGAATTTTGATTGAGAATGATGGACTGAACACATCGACTTCAGGGTGAGGGACTGATTAACTCAAACTCCTCACCTTGCACCGTTCTTCTTTGTATTGGACTGAAGAAGCCACTGGCTGGCGAAACGTTTCCTCAATAAAGATCCCCAAATGCTTCACAAGTGTCTCAGCGTTCATCAGGTATATTGTTAGCCTACGAAGCAATGTTGCCATTATCCCCTCTCATATAACACTTCTTAACGGGAATGTGGGTAAGGATAAAGGAAGAAGTGGCAACAGGGTACTTGAGGAGGCTGAAAACTGCCAGTTTTTTTTTTTTTTTTTTTTTTTACACAGGGTTTGACAAGGTTAAGGATCCCTAGCTTTATTGACAGCTATTTACAGGTTAAGGATTCCTAACTTTATTGGCAAGCTAAGAGCTGTTACCTACATCAGCTTATTTGACGTCATGTCTCTCCGTTGTATAGATGTATACTGTATTTGTGTTATGTTTTAATACAGGTGTCTTGTGAGTTCTTATTTCTATTTGTATATTTTATTGGCCTGTGTTATAATCGTACATATATACCATAAAGAACAAGAATGTAAACACACAGAGAGGTGTGTATCTGTCACTGTAATATACTCTAAGACGTTACCTTAGTCCCTTTTTTTTAATATTAAAGCATTCCTGACTGATGGCAAATAGGTGAACTGCAGCCTTATAATGACCTTTGTGTATTAGATAGGTTTAAATGCAATTAATCGACCAACCATGAAGAGTATTTGGTTTAATAATAAACGATAAGTGTGCCTTTATATTCTGACCGCAGTGTGAAAATATTGTTAATCTTGTGTTAGTGTCTGAGTTACCTACTTGAAGCTTTATTAGGGAGACAAGGATAGTTGGAGTTAAGCGAGTTATTTGAGGAGTGGCAGTTCCTGGAAACGAACAAGAGGAGGAGGAGAAGGAAGAGGATGGTACACACAGTTCCCACTCACCATAGGAAACAGCAATGTTCGCAACTAGGACAATCACAGCCAGGTGAACGAAGAAGTACTCAACCTCGGCTCTGTCAACCATAAAAGAGAGAAATTACTCATTTGTTTAAATAAACACACACACATACACATGTGTCTTTGTATGTCTGTATTTATAAGTTAGTATGAATGTTTGTGTAAACGTAATTAACAATACTGCGACTAGCTGGGGATCGAACCCGTGTTATTTTAGCTCGCCTCGTGGGAAGTCAGCCAAAATCCACGACGCTCTAACAATCTAACCAGTACTGTTAATTACTTAAAACCACTTGTTCGTGGGTGCATTAATTGATGTAAATGTGTATATATGCTGGTATATATACACGGGATAGGGGTCGGCCTAGGAAAGGTGGGAGGGCGGGAGTAAAGTAGGTTTTGTGTGCGAGGGGCTTGGACTTCCAGCGCGCATGCGTGAGCGAGTTTGATAGGACTGAATGGATACAAATGGTTTTTAATACTTGACGTGCTGTTGGAGTGTGAGCAAAGTAACATTTATGAAGGGATTCAGGGAAACCGGCAGGCCGGACTTGAGTCCTGGAGATGGGAAGTATAGTGCCTGCACTCTGAAGGAGGGGTGTTAATGTTGCAGTTTAAAAACTGTAGTGTAAAGCACCCTTTTGACAAGACAGTGATGGAGTGAATGATGGTGAAAGTTTTTCTTTTTCGGGCCACCCTGCCTTGGTGGGAATCGGCCGGTGTGATAATAAAAAAAAAAAAAAATAATGTTAATCATACATATATGCACGTGATTTGGTCTATACGTGCGTGGGTGTATGAATGTGTTTATATATGTGTGTATATAGTGAGTGTATACATGTTTGTTCATAGATAAAAGTGTTATGAACACGAGGAGAGAAATCACTCGGCTCTAAACCTGAAGTATAGGCACGAGGGAGTCAACATATTTCTGCTTCAGTCATAGTTCACATGCTGAAGATAGTTGTCAAATGAGAACGAAATATAAAGTTCTCTGTGCATTAAATGTTGGTAAATGTGGTTTCTCTCCCCCTTATTCTCTCATGTACTCACCTAATTGTGGTTGCAGGGGTCGAGACTCAGCTCCTGGCCCCGCCTCTTCACTGAACGCTACTAGGTCCTCTCTCTCTCTCTCTCCCTGCTCCAGGGGCTTCATCATACCTCGTCTTGAAGCTATGTATAGTTCCTGCCTACACTACATCACTTGATAGACTATTCCACTTCCTGACAACTCTGTGACTGAAGAAATACTTCCTAACATCCCTTTGACTCATCTGAGTCTTCAACTTCCAACTGTGTCCCCTTGTTTCTGTGTCCCATCTCTGGAACATCGTGTCTCTGTTCACCTTGTCTATTCCACGCAGTATTATGTATGTTGCTATCATGTCGTATGTGAGTATGTGCGTGCATGTTCATGTGTGTGTACGTATGGGCATGTGTATATACTGCATGTGTGTACGGCATGCTATTTTTATGTACATATTATCTTAAGTCAACATAGATATATAAAAAAGTTCTACTTTGGCCTGTTCACCCCAATATGCTTTTTTTTTTTTACCCTCTGAGCCTACTCACTGCAGTTCTATCTCTATCTACCTCAACCCGGAGTCTACTCACCTCGATAACCCACCTCAAAGCCTGTACCTACCCATTGTATCTCCCAAGTCCCAAGCCAACTCGCCACATCACTGAGCCACCTCATTACACTCCAAACACTGAGCCTACTCACCGCAACTTCCAGGCCTACTCACCTCAGCCCCACCATGTAGTAAGATATAGCTATGAATCCACTGGGAGCTATGATGTAGATAGGTAGTTCCGCCAGGTTCCGCGTGATAAAGTATATATCGGTACGGTAGAGACCATTCCAGTGCTCGCGGAGGAACAGCGGCATTACCGCTGAGAACGTCTGTCGGGAACGAAGGGCAGCGCCAGGTGAGAAGTATTGTTATATGTCTGCGGACGGAGGATCAAGCCTCTACTACACTTACGTTAGGCGCGGATTAAGAAGTCGTTTATAGCTATTTATATAAATATAATAATTGCCGTTGTTAAAGTATTAGTAGTAATTATAAATAATAATTAATAATAATAATAATAATAATAATAATAATAATAATAATAATAACAGCAGCAACAGCAATAACAAAAACGTAAGCAATAACATAGAAACAATAAGAAATAATAATAATAATAATAATAATAATAATAATAATAATAATAATAATAATAATAATAATAATAATAATAATAATAATAAAACCGACATAAATAAGTACTTCTCCAGTTTAGATTTAATAAACAAACTTAACTGTCTGTAAAACTTAAGAAGGAAGCACAGAGGTGCTTGTGTCTCCAGACATCAGGTACTGCAACGCTGCTTGGGAAAAATATCTACATAATTATCCAGTTATTTGCTCGGTTAATTCTGTATCTGTTGCACATGTGTCTTATGCATCAAGCCTATATCCAGGCTTGATGCGTAAGACACATGTGCAGCACCTGAGTGTGATTAAGATATCGTGTCTCAGAAAAAATTAGCTCATTCCATTTAATAATATGTGTACTGCTTCTGGTTTATAATCTCGGTATTGATTGAAAAAAAAAACTGGTTGACGTAAATGAAGATACACAGGTGTTGCATATGTTTCTTCTTCATCAACTTGTTAGTGTTGTATACCATTGATGCAACGATGTAATATTTTTCGATATCTGTAACACATTGGCGGAAAGCCATGTTGATGTATGAGACACTCTGGCACCACTTTGATTTCTGTATTTCCAAGATATTTCGTCTGTGCATCAGGTGACTGAAATACTGGAGAGAGCTGAAGAAGAATTTGAGGTGCATAGTCGTCCACGACCCTCAGCTCTGACACAAGTGGAAAGGTAATTTGAGGTGTTGAATCCCCAGGCTTTGACAGAAGTTGTTCAGTTTTATAGTGTTAAGAAAATAAAGATGTCAGAAGGAAACTCATATTCGTGATGCACCTGAAATGTATTGTGTTGGTGTTGTTATTATCTTGTGTTACCTGGAGTTTACCTGGAGAGGGTTTAGGGGGTCAACACCCCCGCGGCTAGTTCTGAGACCAGACCGATCAATCAGGCTGTTACTGCTGTTAGGTAGTAAAATCGGTCCTTCCTATGCTAATCGAGGGACAGACACATGGCTAACTTGTAGACTTGATCTGGCAGCCATCAGAGCCCAGACACACAGACTGTCAACCAGCCTGACCATGAAGGTTCTCGCTATCTACCTATACTTAAATGCTGTGCAGTTTACTGACCGTGACGACCCCGAACATGTTGGAGAACGTCATGTTGGTGAGGAACACGAAGATGACGCCGCTGATATTTCTCACGGATTTCAGGTTGATGCCATCCTTGTCCAAGTCGAAGAAGATCAGTCCAAACACGATGGCGAAGAACTGTAACGCAATGGGCTGTGTTAGTAGTAGTGTTAATGCTAGCACTCTGATAATTTTAGCATTAATATTGATGTTTGTTGCAGTGACGCTAGTGTAAATAAATTGTGTTAGTATTAGTAGATTCTAATTATTAGAATTTATCTCCGAAAAGGCTAGTTTACTAACCCATATCCATTCAACAGACGGAAGCGCCAGAGCATATGGATACACAAAAAACCTATGCGCAAGTCCCTTTGAAGGAGGGATATATATTTCCAATTTATCTTCCATCTAGTGGAAGCAAATTCAAGATTTTTGCTTAAATTGTTTTTGTAGTGTTTTAAATATTGTTATTCTTGATAAGCTTTGTGCAAGAATAGAAAGTTAGTTGTGACCTCGTCATCGAGGTCAAAACGGGAGCAATGCACCGTATCCAAGTCACTTTTTTAGCTATAATGTCGTCGAATGTAACAGCCTGAATAAACTCGTTTATTTGAGGCAATAATTCAGCTAAATTATTATGGACATATAATGCAACACAAAAAAAAAACAACTTTGTAACTAGGTAATTTATTACAGGTCAGTCGGACCTTAGCCCTCAGGGTAAGAAGAGTGAGCAGTGACAGCACTCTGAAGGAGACGTGAGAATGTTACAGTTGGAGAGTAGTGCGAATTGTGATTCCAGCACACTTCTGACATGAATGAATGCCGGGAAATATGTTTCCTTGGTTGGTTAGCAACCTGGCTTTTATGAAAGCTTTTGAGGGTTTCCCTGTAGCACATCCTCACACGAACCAATTTAACACTCCCTAAACAGTAGCTTAGAAGTCCCACTATAACATGAGATACATTCATACCCACACACACACACACACACACACACACACACACACACACACACACACACACACACATGAAACACAGTTTAAACAACTGGCTAAGATATACACCAAGTGAATGGCAACGGGGCAGTTTCCAGATATCTGGTAGACGGCGAATGCAGCCATAGTGTTTAAGGAGACAGATTGGAAAACAGGAACTTTAGACTGGTTTAACTTACATGCTTACCATGCAATGTAATGAAGATTATCAGAAGAGTTGAAGAGCATTTGGAGAGACGTGGTTTCGTA